ACTTTAGGAAGAATCCCAGTCTCCTCATCAAAATCAGGAAACTCTTCCTTGGAAAGCACATTAGCTGCAATCATCTGGGAAAAGAATTAATACATTCATTTGTCCCCTTGAATGAACACAACCCACCTCTACGAGGTCTCAGTTCTAATGCTATTGCCAGACTTGTAAAACAGGAACAAGGGAATGTTGTGATTTCAGAACAAAGGAATGGTCCTACATTCTGGCACACTTCTCCTTAAGTCATTCAGTCTCTGAGCAAACAGACCTTTTGTTATTAACAAAATAATATTATTTTGTTATTAATAAGCTGGCTTATTCATGACAGGACTGTGCTGGTAATCAAATACCACCTAAGTGTCACCGGATAAAATTCATGATCCTCCAGGTCAGAGTGATCTCTGGAGGCTACCTGGTTCAACCTCCTGCTCAAAGCAGGGCTAAGCTCATCGTCAGAAGTCCCACATCGCAAGGCAGCAGCAACACACACAAGTAAGTTATGCAAACAGTCAAGGAGCTGTATTCTAGCACATTAAACTTCCTAGCAATTTTACTGACTGACCCTCTATTTCCCTGAGTAGAAACGCACCTGTTTTATTTCCCACTTCTCTGGGTCTGAAATTCGGGTGAGGCGCTTCCGTTCAAGGCTATCATCCTCCACCTCTGGGGCATTCACCAGGGATAGGTGACTGGGTCTGTCTGGATTTCTCATAGAGGTTTCTTCATTGACTTCTCCAACCAGGTTTCTCCTCCGGTTTGGGTTCAAGTCTTCCCCAGTGTCTTGATCAACATCCTATATTAGATTGATTAATCAACCAGCTCTACCTATACTGCACTTCTTATCTAATAACACCGGTGCTTCCTCTAACACAAGAGAAAAAGCAGAGTATATTTCTCAGAGAGACTATTGCCAACAACAGTCCATACACAGAAAATGATATTTTGAATGCTTTTGGATTTTTTTCAGCTACTATTGTGAGCTAAGTACACCCCAAGGCCTGGAACACTCTGCCTTGGCAATAGCAGTGATTTCATTTAAGATTAAATGCTTCTTCTCTCACACTGAAAAAGGAATTAGAACATAGCAACATCTTGAGTTTTGCATTGTCACTCAGCTGACACATCAAGTCAAGAGAATATTAGGATCATTACATCAAAACAAAGAACCTACAGAAAATGAGTAAAACGCTACAGGCCACTTAAATACAGAACAATAACTGAATTTTTTAAACTCCCACATGAAGGGTTATTAGTTTTCATCAAAAAGAGGAAAAAATAGCAAAAAGAGGCATAATCTTTAAAAATTTTGGCACCACAAGCTCTATTATAAGCACTACAAAATATCTTCCATACCTTCATGCTCAGGCTGGTTTTGGATCCAGTAAAGGATAACACTTTGACTTTTACTCTTTGTCCTTTGCTCACAACATCGGCAACATTGGCAACCCGTCCTTCTCTTCGAAGCTCTGAGATGTGGACCAAGCCCTCCCAACGTTTCCTGTAGGTGAAACAGAGTGGCATGAGATGTTACACATTATTACCCCAACAGACCTTCAGACCACTCAAAGTCTGGATTAAAATACTGTGTTGTCAACTGACCGTGTAAGTTCATAAACTGTTTTTTATAAGAAGAACATTTTCTGCTGTTGAATTTATTTTTCTGAAACAGACCTTCATTTTGGCATCAAAACCCAGCATATCTTATCGTAGCCTCATAACCTCTTTAAGATAGTAGCAGAAAAGAGAACTCAGATGTAATAATACCAGATTTATTGTGAACATCAAAGTACCTTAGTCCTTCTAGCTGCACAAAGCATCCAAATTGCATTATACTTGTGACTTTGCCATTGTAAATGTCTCCAATGGAAGGCTCCTCAGGTGGTGGACGGTCTATGTGCTTGTCTCTCCATCTCTCATTGCTCTTCTCAGCATACTTCTCTCGATCCTTACGGTCCCTACTGGGACTTCGACTTCTGCTCCTTGACCGGTATCTGGATTTTCCCCTGTTCTTATCCCAAGTCCTAGAATGAGACCTAGAGCGAGATCTGTGCCTTCGTTTCCTGTCCCTGCTACGACTCCGGCTCTTCCTCTTTTTCTTTGCCCTATCAAGCAAACATTATGTATTTGCAGTAAAATTCCACATAAAAACAGAGCAAGCAGGCCATACCAACTGCCAATACCCAAAGTCACAGTAGAAACCTACCGGTGATCACTGCTCCTTTGCTTGCCTTGTCTGTCTGCACTAGGCATCAGAGCTTCAAGTTCTTTAAGTGCATCAGCTGCCACTTTCACATCATCTTCATCCAGCATATTCTGCAAGAACAGAGAACCATTCTCTAAGAAGGCTGATAAGAAGTCTGTCACAGAAAATTAATCTACAGGAAGTGTAATCACATACATATCTATTTAGAATGAATGCAAGATAAAAGATTGGACAGAATATATGATGCAGGGGAAAAAAGTAATAAATCTATGCCCCTACTTTGCCACAATATTGAGACAATTCTGCTTTTATAAAAAAGACAGCTTCATCTCAACACCTCAAATTATTACAGAAATATATAATGTAAGTCCCTCATAGCTTATGAATATCTAAAAGGTTTATCTAGTTTGTAATCCACCGTTACTTTGAACATTATATAAGAAAGGACAGGCTACAAATTTAATGTCACAAGAGCCTCATCTTGCAGGTATTCTGAAAAAAAGTATCAATGTGGCAATTGCTGTAACAGCTATTTTTGGTAACTATATGCAATAATACTGGCCTTCTGCCTCTTTTGTATTTCATTTCTCATAGTCCGCTTTTATCCATGTATATTAGCAGGAGACACTCACATTAACATGAAAACAACTTAAAACTAAGAGAAACAGTGGGAAAAAACAAAATCATGTTTTTACATCCTCACAAAAGAAATCTTAATTTATGACCTTACCCTGATGTTAGGATTGTCTGGCCTGCAAAGGGCTGGAAACAATTCCTTCAACTTTTCCTTCTCCGATTTGGGTTTGACAACTGTCTCTGATTTTGACATTTCAAACAAACAAACAAAACCAACCAAACAAAAAACCACAAGTAAACAAAACCAACCAAACAAAACCAACCAAACAAAACAAAACAAAAAAAAACACGCAAAATTAGAAGAGATAGAATGATTCACTCTTGATTTTTCTGTAATGGAATATAAAGTTTAACTTTCATCTGAAGGCAAAGGCTGATACAGATTTTAGAGAGATTCATTCCCAACATTAATGTTACCCTCCTACAAATAAAATTCCAATTATTAGTAAATCTGTGAAATACATATATACTTTAAATAATATATTCAGTATGTTTTTAGTGCCGAAACAGCTTTGCCATTCTACCACTAACAGAGAGACTCTCACTGCAACAATAAGATACAAAGTCTTGCCTTACAAGACTAGAACAATAATTACATCAATCTCACCAAACACAGACAAAAGCTACAAAAAATAAAAAGTTTTGTTTTTCATTTCACATTGAACCAATAAGACGAACAAGATTAAGCATACCTTTGCTTGTAGATGGTTTTGGTGGAGGCCGCATTGTCTGAATGAGACGCAACAAATTACTAATAAGGGAATCCTGAAAAATTTAGTAAAATACTTTAATCTAAGAAAAGACTGTAACACTATTTTTCATTATGATAAGGCACAATTGAGGATTTACTAGCAGGACAAAAAAAACCCTCAATTCTGAAAATACTGGTTCATTTTTAGAAAATATCACTGGACTTCATGTACATCAAAAAAAGCTACCATAAACTGAATCTGAAAATTATGATAATTCCATCTAAGTGACTTTTCTATTTGTCATTTTTAATCACCTATTTAATCCAGCTATAGTTATTTCTGATGAACTCACAAACCCAGCACCTAATTATCATAAAAATATTTATGACATTTGCTTTCATTAAAAGCTGTTTCTTCCATATTTTATATGCTCAACGAGACAACAAGCAATTCAAGTTCTCAGAAAGATACTTCGCAAAGACTATAAAGGTTTTAAAACGAGGAGGAGGGAGGGGGAAGTTTGGCTTGATGAGACAGGCATACTCAAAAGCTAATCAGTGCGTACTTTTCCAACCGAAAAACACCAATAATGATTCCTCACATCTCTTCCTTTAAAACAAAGAGCTGTATAAAGTATACCACGACAAGAACAACACATAAATAACGTTCAGATCTCACTTACAGTGAACTCAGCACCATTCTTTAGAAGAACTGCTTTAAATGCGTCAAATGTAGTATTTTTCTCAGCAAGACTTATCACAAACTCGGCTGTGAAGATAAAGCATTAAATAAATTAGCAAAGCACGTCCTGGCCGACAGAAACGGCTACAACAGCCCTTCCCACAGCTGTCGTCGTGCCCGTATCGCGACAGACACCGGCTGCCGCGCCCCAGGCCGCACTCGCCACCGAGACCCCCCAGTGCTGCGCGGCCCGCCCCACTCACCCAGGTCCTTGTCGTTGATGCCCAGGTGGTTGTCCAGCTCGGTGCAGACCTTGGACACCAGCGACAAATATTCGAGCTTCGCGAGCTCCTCCACAGCCACCAGGTCCGCCATTATTCTGCCCCATCCGCGCATACCCGACCCAACTTCCGCATCCGGGGCGCGCCGGAAGCGGTGCGGAGACTGCGCCGGTACTAGTCATAGAGAGGGAAGAGGGGACTAGAAGGGCTCGTGACTGGGACCCGTCTAGGAGACCAGCTCTGTGATGGGCGGCAGCGCCGGGCCTTGCAGCTCGTACAGAGAACGAGCTCCCTTTTTCCCAGTGGGGTGCTTGCATCCGCACCTGGGCACAGCTGTCGGTGCTTGCATCCACACCAGCTGGCGTCCAGGGAAGGGCCAGCCCCTGGTCTGCGACTATGGCCTTCTGCCCAGCAAGTCTCAGGTCTCCCTTCAGGCAGCTGCTGCAGCACTGGAGCTGTACAGCGGCTACAGCAAGGGTGAAGACACACTCCACAAAGTGAAGTCATCCATCCCTGGTTGCACAAGGCCCTTTATTTGTGAACTGACAAGGGCAGTATAAAAGCACATCTGGAAACTCAACAGCAAGGGAGGTAGAGTACATAGCAGAATCAACAATACAGCAAATACAAAAAGCAGTGTAGGGATGTGACAAGCAGTGAGGATTTCAGAATGGGACATGGAGCTTCATCCCTGCTTCAGGGGGAAGCTAACTAGTTACGATTTCAGTGTTGATCTTAATGGATGTTAGTGAGGAGCAATACTGCAACAGCTGTGTAAGAGGTACTGGTTTAGGAAGCATATTTTGAAGACGGGATCAGAGACTTTCTTCAATAGTCTTCAACTATTCTGATGGTTTGGTTCTATCCTTCAGCGCGACAGATGGAGGAAAATACTGAACTGGTGAGTAACCATCTAGAATGCATCAGGCAGCATCTAAACTAGAACCTAAGGAATAGCATTTAACCCCTCCATTGTTTGGAGGGATACAACTGCCAGCCCTGGGAGAAGAAAAGGCAGTCGGGGCTTTCTCTCCTATAAAGTCTGCTGGGTAGTTTTGCAGCTTTAGACCAAAAAAAATGCACCACACCCCCAAAAACAACTGTTTACTGATATTTTTACAAACTAGGCTTTTCCAGTCAGAGATTAACTCTCATGCTTGTTCGAGTTGAAATAATTAAATGCCACAGTATACAATAAAACAATACAACAAACGGCATGTGCTGGCCACCAAACACCACTGGTGGGAAAGCAATATTTTTGATTCATGATACAAAATACATTTTCTTCTCACTGAAATGGATGCTGTTAAAGAACAGCTAGTGGATGAGCTTGTTTTAAAAACACATATATACAAAACCGCATATTCTCACCTGCCATACCAGACAGCCTAAAACAGCAGTCACCCAACAGTCACTCACAAGGTATTTTGGTATGACATGCAGTAGTTTTTCTAAAGACTCAGATAGAGACATCAATCCTGTTTCTTGCTCTTGTTGTGCAGGTTGTACAAGTGTCATTAGATTCTGGTGATGCAGATGCAATCCAGCCAAAAACTCTAATCATAGGTGTCCTTTTTGAAGGTATGAAATACTTAAATTCAGGACAGAATTGCAAAATTATGCAAGAAGGAAACAACTAGATTTAGTCTGACTAATAAGGCACTGCCTCCAAAGCAGCAGTGAAACACAGTGTGTGGCCCAATCCGATCAGCCACGCAGAGACACCCCATGCACTGGTCACTTGATAAGGCACTGAAAAAATAAAGCTGCAATCTCAGGACCGCAGAGTCCACATTCATAAGGTCAAGTATCTTTGCATGAGGGATGGAAGTCTTATCCAGGAAACACTGAGCCTCCTGTTTAAGGCATATATTGAGAACAGGTCCCAGAAGTTTGTATCCCTGACTTGCCTTTGTGGTGGAACATGCTACACCCACAAGCTCTGCCAACCTGGCCCTGTCATGGCAGGTGATGGTACAATGGGCGAGGTAATGTGGCATTCTCCCGGCAGTCCACATACTGGTAGTCTTCAAAAGCCAGCTGCTCTGAATGACACAGGCATGTGCAGGTCAGGGTACCCCTGCAAGACAAATTCAGACCAGAACTGCACTTGTGATCGTCCCAGAAGAGATTTCTCATAAAGTTAAGGTCGCATGGTGAGCTCCCACTGCCATCCTATTTTGTCCCTATTACATGTCCCCCAAACATAACAGTCAGGATACCCTCAGCTCAATTTCATGTGTTAGAGAGGGAAAGCATCTCGCAGACTGCGTTAAAGAAAACCTTTACAAGATCACTATCATCACAACAGATGCTTCAGCCTTTTTAAAAGCCCATCAAGACTTCCTACCCCAGCATAATATTCCTGTGCCATTTCACCATTTACTTGTTCCCAAAGTGCTAGTGCAAGTCACAGTGGGTAGCTGTTTATGGAGTTAGCTAGACAAAAGCATATCTTTCAATTACTATCTTTTTGTGCCACTGCAAGAGCTGTTTGCATCAAATAGTTTCTCCTAACACTATGCAATCCATCAGTGGGTAATAGCAGGAGGAGATGCGGTGCAGGAAAGTGTAAAGATCACTGAAGTAATCTTCAGCTTCTGACTAACAGAGAGCTGGCAGGTAGAGAGAGCAAAGGTGCTGTTAGCCCATAGCATCAGCCAAGAAGGACAAAGTTGCCTTAACAGCCAGAGTCATCCTCCATGCTGCCCAAAATGCACCGTTTTTATCATGCTCCAAGTAGCACGGGGCTTCTCTGCATACTTTACTTGTTTAAACTTCACATCACTCAGCACTGATTGCAATTAAAACCTGCACTAAGAACCATAAAACAAGAAAGTTGACATTACAGCCCTTCAAATTGCAACAGAAGACCAAAATTTAAACACCTGTGTTTTGGGAGATCACTAGTGATATTTCTTTAGTGACGTGAGAGAACTCCAGCCTGGAGTGCCTCCAAGAGATCCACATACTTTCTCCAATCAAATGCTTTTCCTAATACAGTCCATTTCCAGATATGGCAGGTGAAGCCCTGGCTTTAGATTAGCACAAGAGACCATGATGCAAAAGCAGTTCCTCCTTCCTGAAGAAATCATGGACTCACAACAGTCTGCAGAGGGTGAACCCAGAGGTCCATCTTCCACGAGTGGGATCACAACCTGGGGAGCGCAGGGAGATCCATCTAGTGGGCAGAGGCTACACAAGGAGACAATTTCTGCTGCAGTTTTCCAAAGTGGCTTCAACTTAGCTAATGAAGACCACTCTTCTTTCATGGCTACATGGAGGAGCTCTAGCACCGCTATACCTTGTAAGAGCTTCCCTGTCTCACACACCTGGTTTAGCTCTAACCCAGACCAGAGCAGTAGCAACCTGTCCCAGCAGGAGCTGTATTATAAAACTGCAGTTGTCCTCCTTCCTCTTTAGCAGGGAGCAACAGCCAACCTGCATTTGCTTTCCCAGCAGGGCCTGTCGTACTCTAAAACCCAGTCAAGCTGAGCATGTTCCTCTGGTCCATCCCCTGAACAGGAGCTTCCTCAGGCAACAGAATCTGCAGAAGAGCCTGCTTTGTCCTACCCTGCTCTCAGCAGCTGCTGTCAGAACACTCAAGGCAACCATCCGCACAGAGTCCACACTGAATGCATCTGCCCCCAACACCACAAGGCAGGAAGGCATAACTGAACCGGTCAGTACACTTCTAGCTCTGGACCAAAGAATTATTTCCCAACGGCTACAATAAGTATTCCAGAAGGAAGTTTGCCAGGACAGCTTGCCTTAAGCAACAGTGACAGCCTCAGTTGTCAGTAAGCCTGAATCCAGGGGACTTCAAGACATCAGTGGTTTTGGAGAATTATCTCTTCCTCACACCTCAGCACACCTGTCTGGGTAGCGAGACATTCACATTGTAGACAGTCCGGGTCTTGAACAGTGACTGCAGACCTTCTTGAAGGGAGCTGAGAAACAGCAGTGACATGGATGTTACTTATAGCTCTGAGTCAAGCATCACTTACTGTATATGCAGCAGAACATTGTGAACTTTGACTTTTTTCCATGTGCAAATGTTACTACAAGAGAAGAGAGAGAGTTAATGTCACAGGAGCTGCCTGTATCATGTCTCTTCTGTCCTCTATTATTCCATTCCTCCTTTGCTTCTCCAAAAAGGTCTGTCTTTGCAATATTCTGACAACAGCTATGCAGGCAAAGTTCTTCAAGCACAGCAATATCTACACCAGTAAAACACGTTTTTGCTGGTGTAACTCTGTAACTGTGCATCTAGTAAGCATGGGGCTTGTAAATGTGCAATGCACCACCCTTTCTGCACAGGAGCTTTGGTTGCTATGAACTTCACAGTTTGCTGGTCATTTGCAGAGAAATGCAGTTTGTACAAGGTACCTTTAGCTGCTCACAAATGGAGCATTTAAAGTTGACAACCTAGACATCAAACTGATATCATCACTTACTCATCAAAAAATACGGTAAATGACATTGTTGAGCCAACACTAAGCAGAGAATACCAATAAATAGAAAAGGAAACTAGTTTAAAATGGATGTGCCAGACTTGTATCCAGATCAGCTCCACACGTTGAACTGAAAAGGACACACTCACTCAGCTTTACTCTACAGACAGGACCAGCACAAGAAATCTAGTCATAAAAAGCCTGTAAGTGTTAATGTTACTTACTAACCAAGGGAAGAAATATTGAAGAATTACTCACTAGGTGTTGTCATCCAGTATCCTACTGGCCACCAAATAAAAGATCTGCAAATGTGAACAGAAGAGAAAGCGGGAAGTACACAAGAACTACAGTTATGCTCGTATACAGATCAGAGAGCTGAAATAGGGAGAACTGGGCTTTTATTAGGTGTCTGAACCTGAATGTCAAGATTTAGCCTAACAATTGTTTTAACAGTAAGTAAGAAAACAGAATCAGAAATTATATCTGAAAAGACCTTAAAAAGTCATGTAGGCCACTAATCTGACCTTTACACCAAGAATGGATCAGCTGTGCTCAAATTGTTCCCACCAGGGTTCTGTCTAACCTGTTTTTAAGCTTGCCATCATTTTAAGGCAAGCACACAACCCAGCCCACTACCCGAAGAGCTGACAGATGTTCATTGCCCAGGAACATATTAGCTTCAAACTCAGCAACATGGAAATTCTTACAACATTCCTTCCCAAAGCAGGATATGTGAAGCTGCATGTGGAAAAGCTTTGAGTATTTGGAAGGCAGATGACAAAGGAATGGATCAAGCATACAATAAGCATCTCCCTGTCCACGACATCCAGATTAGTTTAGGAGAAAATGCAACAAATGCAGAACTCACCTGGCTGCTCTGCAAAGGGCTCATATTCAGCAGGGTTTTCATGGTGGTCCTCCCTACTACTAGAGACTGGTGCAAAACCTCTATGTCTAGCTGCACAACAGTGACCAGGTAGAAGTTGTTATTAGTTACATTCAGCACGTTCTAGGGAAACAAAAAAACAAACCCAAAGCACAAATCACCTTGCAGCAGGGCCATTTGTTACTGCTGCAAAGCTACTTTAAGTATATCCCTGCTATGACATTACAGCAACACTGGACGACATCATCCCTCTCAAATCCTCAGACATACATCCAGCCTGGCCCCAAAGGCATATACACTGCAGTGTCTCCCATGACAGTCAAAGGGGGACAGTTAAACAGCTCAAGGATGCAAAAGAAAAAGGATTCCCAGAATTAATCACAGCGCTTCTACACAGGCCCTCCGGCCACTTTGTATGACTTGCTCTCTCGCAGCCAGGCCAGCCACACCTCTGATGCTGCAACACACTCTGGAAATTGATTCCAAGCCGCCAGACCGAGATGGTGGAAATGGGAAGACTAACTTCAGACAGTGATCAGTTAGCCCACACATGGAGTGGCACAGTAGATAGCAGGGAGCCCTTCAGATCCACTCACTGACTGAGCTGAGCACTTACCGTCATGTTAAGGTATATACTGGTGGTGGTGGCATCAAAGCTGATGGAGGAGGCATTCAGCCCTGCAGGCAGCACAGTAATGGAGCGAGGAAACAGGAAGAAAATACTGAGAGATGTTGTCAGCAGGCAGATCATCACGGCAAGACATACATAGAGTTTCCTACAAAACAGCAGCAGGGCCACCATCATTATCTAGGTCAGCTGCAAGCACCTGCAATTCTACTCCAGCTCAAATGGGGGGGATAATAAAAGCTTGGGTGCCAGAAAATTGAGATGACTTTGTGCAGAACTATTTGCCAGCTATCAAATCACAGCAGAAGCAGGGTAGAGTCCCACACACTGACAAAGTGCATTAAAGTACAAAATGCTGGAGATCCCCCAACAACTGCACACAGAAGACTGTCCAACATCTGCCGTGGCTGAAAAGACAGAGTAAACACCTAACCTACTACAAGACAGAGCACAAAGAGAAAAACACCCAAAGGACTGAGGCTTTCCTTCATATGCAGAAGAAACATTCAAAAGATGAGAAAAGGGGAAGATTGTAACAGGACTTACGTTCGTCTAGGCTTCAGCCTCTGGTCACCATACGGTATCAGAGCCACCAGCTGCTTCTCTTGCTCTGAAAGAGGTGACAGCAGATCAGAGACCACACTAAGCACACAAGTAAATAAAGCAAATTGTATTGTAGGACACTGCACAGCATCCTAATGTCCATCTGCACTCACTTCACAGGTGACGCTGTCCAGGCAAGTGTGAAGCAACTAAAATTTCAGTTTGAGAATTCCCATCTCTGGGCAGAAATAAACTCCCCAGGGGCTTGAGGGTGGGCTTTGAATAATCACCCAGAAACAGCACTACCTGCCTTCCCACCCCATCCTCCCCCAATGGAGGCAGCCCACAGAAGTCAGAAGTGAGCTGGAGGTACCAAGACAGGAAATTCCTAGATTGGGTACAATAAAGACCAACTGGTCCAACCAAGTTCTTTGCCTAAAGAGACACATATCAACCTCAGAAGGCTCAAAAAGCACTGACACGGCACACAGAAGCATCACCTACCCCCAGGGATCCTTCCTGTTCCTTGACATGTTGGACAATTGACATAGCTTTGATGTGCAATGCCCACACAGGATGTAGCAGAGTCATTGATACTAGCATAATTGGTGATTTCATCTTCAGCATCCAGTTGACTGGGTAAGATCAGTTTGCCTTCACTCTCCTTTTGGTTAGGTGTTTTCCGGAACAGTGAAAGTTTTCCACCCATGGTTCAAAGAATTCTCACTAGGTGTCCAACACAAAAATGCATTAAGAAGATTGTTTCTGTAAATCAACCTCCAAGAACAGCACCATTAGCATGTGTAGCAGATCACAAATATCCTAACATTTAGGAAGTTTCTTAAAGTACAGCTCTGAAGTTGCCTTAAAAGCTGAGTTCCTGCAAGTAACTCACTCTTAAACATTTAATCTCCTAGACACCGTGGTTGCAGAAAGTGTCTGAGAATACCACCCTACAGAATCGCATACCAGATTCTTCTTTATCTTACAGTATTTGGTAAAAGAGGGGAACTCTGACTCAACGCTCCTGAAGGTTTTGAGATGACAACGTAGCCCAGAAGAACTGCCAAGTTCTTGACTGGTCATTATTCACCTATATCCAACGGGGATCTCACCTGAACATTAAGGTTTTGGCATTCTCAATCAAACACATTGTTACCAACAGTAACTTGACTAAAATCAAATAGTGTGTAAACAGAATCTGAAAATAGAATTTAGTCTATTTTACCTATTACTTTATTTTTAGAAGTTAAAAATACAGTTGAATTCATTTTCCCAGGCTACTGACAATCAAAAGTTTTTACATCAGCTCCCAGTAATCCTCCCAAAAGCAGTAACAATACCAAGCTGAGGAAAAGCAACTATATTTTCATCTCAAAGACATCAGCTGAATGCAGTTTCCTACCTGTGCCAGTCTTTCCTCTAGGCTGTCTTGTTTCAGCTACTCATATAGGTAGGATGTTCAGCTTTGATAAACAGCAGCTTCTACATTTGCCCATGTGATCCTGTGGCTTTGCATGAATAACCCCTCAGTGCTCTCTTATAAAACACACTGGGGATGAAAGTCACTGTCTGGCAGTAGAGAACCATCGCAAGAGAGTTGCAGAACACAGGGCTCATTCCACAGCCCACAAACCTGGGCCAGAATAGTAGGGCACGGGCTGATTCTAGGAGCAACTGCCGTTTTCCTTTCTGACAAAGGAAGAACCAGGATCTCACTGAACTAGCAGAGGCACACCGGCCTGCAGGACTGCTCGCTCAGCCCTGGAGGGCCGCAGAGGGACCTTTCAGCAGCCCACTACCCCAGCTACGGAATTCTGCCAGAACCTGCTTAGAGGCTCAAGGGAATTCAGTGTTCCACACCCTCTTGCAGCATGCAGAGGGGAAGACCGAAGATGTCTGAAGGATTGGGGGTTTCCAACACAGGAAGGACCTCATTATATTTTACCACAAGTCCCCAATTCTGCAGTCTGTTGAGGGCCCCCGGAAGCGAAGCTGCAGCTTTACCTGCACTCTCAGTTAATGTTTTCCAGCTTTTCAGAAACAAGCACGGAAGAGAAGTGGCAGCCTTTTCACAGAACTGGAAGAGAGTCATGAAAGCTGGCAAAGCCCTGAGTGGGTGTCAGAGACGGTAAGCGAAAGGCGCGGTGGGTGGGGACGTTTACCGCTTCCCGTACCGCCCGTGGCAGTCGTTCAAGCCCGCCGTAACCCCCACCCCACGCACCTGTACCGCTGGGGCGAGCCTCGGGGTCTGCCGGGGACGCGGAACACAAAGGCAGTAGCTAACACGAGCTCCGGGGCCTGTGCCCCACAACCACGAAGCACCACAGGCACGAGGGTGCGGCACCGCCAATTCCGCCCGCTTGGAGCCCACCGTTCGCAGAGCGCTTCTCCCGGACCGACCCCTCGCACCCCGCTCCACCCCGCCGGGCCCCTCCGGCCACCCCCGCGCCCATCGAAACGGAACCGTAAGGCCCGCGGGGCGGCACCGCCGCGGCCCAGGCCCCCCGCGGAAGCGGAAGCAGCTGCGCGGTCGGAGCCCTCACGCCGCGGGGCGAGGGGCGGGGCGGCCCGGGGCGGCGGGGGGCCGCCCGCGGCCGCTGCCGAGCGCTCCCGCGCGACCAGCCGCCACCCCGCGTGTAAAGAGCCCGAGGGACAGCCAGAGGGAGAAAGCGTTTTATTGGGAGAAGACAAAGGCGCTACTCCTGCTCCCCTCCCTCATCACAGTTGACTTTAAAGTGCTCATCCTAAATAAGATACAGAAGCCATATCTGCACTAAGAATATATTATAAATTATACCATGCATCCATTAACAAAATATACAAAGCCAACAGAGATATATCTATCTTAAGCCTCAGCATACATTATCTAAACCCCAGTAAAAAGTAACCTAAAGAAAACAGCATTTCACACTTCACATTTCAATCTGTAATGAAGTGTTTCTCCTCACACGTTGTAGTGTTTTGTTAATTTATATAACACATTAACATTCCAAGTATGAAGGTACACACAGACAGAGCATGTGTCCTGCTGGGCATTCCCGATCAAAGCCGATAACCACACTGTGCTTAGGAACTTCACCAGCTACTGCACTTCATCCGTGTCATGTCCTCCTCCTCCTTCTACCCTAAGCAGAGGCCGAAAGGTACTCACACATGTATGCATAAGTTAAGGTGGGAGAAAAAAACCCAATGGTTTCAAGTTACAGAAAGATCTTTAACTGGTACACAGCAGACAGTTGTACTGGTGTACAGAGAGACGGAGATGGGAAACACTGCAAAATAGTTCTACTGTATTTCAAAATAAACATTTAAGAGTACATCTTCCACAATCTATAAAAATAGGTTTAAAACAGAAATGGTATGATACATTTTCTTCTTCAATTATTTTAATGGTATCTTATCTCTAAGGGTATTATGCCTTTTAAAAAAAATTTCTACTACAGATTGCCTGGTCAGTCACAATACTGATACTGCTTCACCTACACTGTGACAAAACAGGAACACCTTAGTTTGAAGCAGCAGTAATACAAAATATTTTAGGATCAGTGGTCTCTTACTGCAACAAGGAAAAATGGTTGCTTTAAAGTAAGAATGTCACCAACACTGCTGTCACTTTCAGAGGGACTGGACTCTGAAAAGCGATCCATGGATACACCACTGCACAGCAGTGTATGTTGCTTGTTTCTCGTGAGTGATTCTTCAGAATCAAATCTCTTTCAGCACATTTAGAAGGGAATTCTTAGATTTTCAAATAAAACACAGGCATCTAAATCAAAACCTTGTGAGAAAAATGAATCCTACAGATGCGTCTATCAAAACACAGCAGGTAGAACCATCACAGGAGACTGTACACTTAAAACTGCTTAAGTGAATGCATTTTTCAAACTATAATATAAGTCACACAATCTCTACCTCAAGCACTCTTCCCATTCCTAAACATCACCAGAATTTGTACTCCAATTCAGGTCTGGGTTTCTACACATTCTTTAATTCTTCTATGTGGTATTAACAGAATAAGAGGTTTGCACTATACTAAGAAATTATAGTGGTCAAATTTTAACATTGTTACAGATAGCCTGTGAAGATTCTTAGAAAGTCCTTTCCTACCCTTAAACTCCATTTTTAACAAAATATTTTATGTGGGCTATGTTTTCCTGTTAGATGTTTTGCACTATCAATATTAGAGCTGGTTCAATTGCTGCTGGTAAATTCAATCTCCTGCTTCATTCTGATACAAGAAACAATGACTTTCTTGGTATTCATCAGTTTTAACAGTGGTTACACTTTCAGACTTTTCAAAAATTGTTTGATGGTTCAAGACGGCTTTTGCATATGAGCAACCTTTTTCTGCTAAGAATCATTTGTAAGGTTTAAGTCTGTTATGTTACTGTCACGCATTGAACAAATCAATTATTAAGTTATATCAGAAGAAACAACTTGCTAGTTGTGGACATCTCTTGTAAATTAGGCAAGACTACATTTTACAGCAGCATTTTACATTGGTTCCTATTCCAAAGCTTGTTAAAAGTCAACAAAACAGGTTTCCAGCTGCCTAAAACAAAAAAAAAAAAAGAAAAAAAAAAGAAAAAAAAAATCTTACACACAATAAAAGGAGAAGTTCTCATCTGGGTGGAAATTTAAGTAATTCTACAGGATTCCCTGATAAAAGGATTCAGTACGAAATTAGAGACTTAAAGACTACTCATTTGAGTCCAAATAACAGTTGAAATTCTGGTCTCCAACTCATAAGATGCTGTGACAATCACTGTTTGACATTTCCATGAGGAAAAAAAAATAGTCAAAAGCTCAAAGAAAATCCAAAGTTTTAGTCACATCTCCAAACAGAAAGCAGCTGAGGAACAGCCTGCTACTGTTGCAGCGTTCCATTAGAGTTTACTCAATGAAGACAATTCTTCTCCTCCATCAGGGAAGTTCAGCATCTACTGCTGTACCAGTCACTGTTACTGATCTGAAGCAATTCAGTTACCACTTGAACCATATTATTGTTGTGTTTCTTCAGCAGCTGCAGGTTTAACTGCCTGTCACAGAATCCCATCTCGCACAGACTGGATAGAAGAGTGGCAGTGTGCTCTTCTGTAGCTGCACGCTGCTGAAAAACAAAAGATAGCAAGATAAGGTATAAAAAGAGGATTTATTTTTGCCATTTGGAACAGTGATCCTACATTATACTGGAATATAATTAAGGCACATAAGCCCTTCTGTCCAGAATTAAGCTGTTTATATTCACTTTCACAGGTGAATTACTACTCCTACATGACACTACAAGAGACATGCTTCTATCCCCATGGTATCGATTTCCTTGTCTGCTGGTGGAACAGCATACTTCAAAAGGATGTCATCAAGCTTAGCATTTTACTGTTGCATGAAGTCCTATATAGAATACTGATGCATTTATAAAATATATACCTATAATTTAAGGTTGGCACTCTAGAAAACTCATAGAGCATACAGAAAAGACATTTACCGGTTCTACAATGGGTGGTCCAGCAAATAATGCTTTGTAAGCAGAAGCAGCAACTGACAAAGCTCCTTTAACTAGTTCTCCTGCAATGCTGCTTCCTTGAGGGTATCTGCAGAGAAGTCAGGTATTACTTTACGGTCAATAAAGCCAAGCATTTGCTTCACATGAAATGCAAGTCTCTGTTCATGTACGGAGTTGTTGGAGAGAACAACCTATGACCCAAAGGAATCATTGATGCTCGGGAATTGATCTATGCAGGAAGCTCATTCCTTTTTTCTTGATACCTTCTATTAAATTGTGGTTGTATGCTGAAGTACATTAGCTTGCTTTCCATAGCGTAACCTTTTGTAAAGGATTAAGTATTCTCACCCAGAAGATTACATCTATACATGAAAGCTGTTCACTGTGACATATCCATTCAGGCCAGAGTAATTTCCATTTGTTTTCCATCAATTCTTAAGTCATTTGATATTCTGCTCAACATTTTGTCTCATGCCTCCAGTCTCAGCATCTAAAGATGCTTAATTTCGCAGCTAACTTACAAAATCCCTATTTTAAGAACCCTGAGATTTAAAAAAAAAAAAGACACACAGAATTAAGAATTCAGTTTGAGCTGCTCATACACTTCTGATTCCTAATTCTGCATTCTTCATATTCTCGTATAAATAGAAACAAAGATTTTATGAAAATACAGAACTATATAATTCAGCATGTTTCCTTTAATGTAGACCTTTCCCCAAAATATTGACTACATTAAATCTGCAAGCCCCTGCTTTTGCCTAGGTGCCTAATTTACCAATTCTCAGTTTACAAAAGTATTTCTGAAGTCACAGATTCAGCTTCACTACCTTGAGTATTCTGAGCACTTCTGTTTACTAGTTAGAAATCCAAAAGATCCTGGTCCATGACTGTCTTCACCACTGGGTTCTGGAAAAGGAAGAAAAAGTATCACATGAACACGTCCAGTTAATGAGAGCTGAAGACATCCTACATGTACATAAATGATAAAGAGTGGGATTCAGTCCAAAATGAATACTTTCAATTTTAATTATCCAGACACAAACTAGATATACAGGATTCTCACTGAAGTCAAAACAATCAAAAGAATTTCAGAAGTCATTTGGCTGATTAGTCACTGGGTGTTTACTTTAACACGAGATGAGCTGCTGTCTGAGCTCCCAGTGACTGTAGCAACAGCTTAAATACACAGCTCATTCATTCCAGAGCGAGGTAATGTAGATGTCTACAAATACTACTGAGCACCCTCCTACCATTTCTAACGAACAGATGCTCTTAACTGATCCGCAAGGCAAATCATTTCTCTATTAAAATCTTCTATATAGTAAAATTTCATCACCTAGAGAAAGATCAGTCATTACTTGGTAGATTTCTACTCTCCTCAAGAATAACAAGAAATTAAATCCAATACTAGGCATAAAGAATAGGTGATAACAATAGGATGCATCCTTCATCAAGTACTGTCAATACCTTCTCTTATTTGATTATGAGGGGTGAAAGAGATATTCTCTGAAGCTGATATGCTTGGTTCTTGGAAGACACGATTCTGAAGAGATGCAAGATTCCTGAGAATGTAAGGCAAAAAGAAGTCACTTTTACTACTTTCATTCTACATGTATACAGGCAGGTAAATAAAGATCAAAAGAAAAAGCTTCACACGGTCCCTTATTTCCCTCTCACACTCACCTAAATACCGAGTATAGACTTTAGGATGT